TGCCCAAGGCGCTCCTCATCCTCACTGAGACCCCAAACCCACCATGGAAAGGTGGGTTCACCCTCAGCCCCACCACTGTAAAGATAAACACTCCCTAGGGAATTATAAATACCTCCAAACTGATTCTGGAAAGTGGGACACTGTAAAACGTCTGGATTCAGCTGGTCCCCTTTTAATGCCTCTTTTGCAGTTTTAAAGGAGTCTCACGGCCGCGTTCCTGCAGCTCGTCCCAGCCCTGGCTCTGCGCTAGCAGGGAGCATCCCACCGGCTCCGGGGGTCCAGCTCGCCTTCAGAAAGCTTTCAGCATTTTGATGCTTTCGTGATTCATGCCTTCACGCAGCCTCATAACCATCAGCTGCAACCGCCCGGCTTTGCCAGGCACCGCGCCGCACCACGCAGTGTGCAGTGAATGAAAACCGGTTGGCGTACCGACCCGCTCACCGTGCGGCCGTGAAGCGCTGCTGCTGCGGGCCAGGGAGCCGCCGGCGCTGCGCGCGCAGCAGGCTGCAGGGTGGGCCGGCTGTCACGCCAACTGGTGGAACGGGGACGCTGAACAGCCTGTGATGTGTACACCAGAAATGTCATTATAACATACACTTTTTATAAGATTCAATGTTTTCATCTACAGATCAGTAACCTAGAAACAACAACAAATACTTGGCAATGTTAAAAATACACATTTATTACTCCACATATGCAATGGCTTCTCGCAGTATCTGCAAAAACACAAACTTGTCATAACTTAAATATTCTGTGACATGGTAGAATTTTCATGCACTAAAATTACCGAAATGTATTAACATAAAATACAAAGATATACTTTACATATATTTCCACTGAAATAATTTTTAAAAGTACCCTACCAAGGCATCAGGATTTCAGCGCTGTCCAGTGTCGAGTTCCTACTATTGGCCTTTTTGCTATTATTTTATTACTCTTACGCTCTTTTTGGCAAGGTATAGAATAATAAAGAGTTGGCAACAGAAGAAACATCAGGACCTGATCCGGCATTTGTTTTCTACGCAAAATTCCCAGTGAAGTCTGTGGAATTCAATGGAAACACTTAAAAATATGCTGCTCTGCAAAACCTGATAATACAACAGAGATAAGAAAAAAATCTTATGGCAAGGAATTTAAGGAGAATAATTTATAGGCGACGTAGACTTTTCACAGTGAATAATGGCACACCCTGTATAAATCTGTCATACAAAAAATACATGTATTTAAATATTTATATACAGAAAATTATTGTATTCTGGTTGTAGTGGAGATGTAAACCAGAGCTGCTATTGACTTCTTTCAAGCTCTGAGTGGTGGGGTTTGGTACCAGGAGTATGTCACGACTTCACTGTGAGTTTTGCTCACATCTGGAGCTGCACCAGGCTCTAACGCAACAGAGAGCCTAAGAGGAGAGGAGCGGCTCTGAGCGTTTCAAAGCCAGGTGTTTTTCACAGAAACCGGCCCTTTCGCAGAGGAGAACCCGTCCCACCAGCCGGGCGTCCTCGGCGCACGCATCAGGCCCAGCGTCGCCAGCTTGGCTCTCGCTGCGGGAGGATGCAGGGGATGCTCCTGGAAGGAGCCGCGGGGACGTGCGGTGCTGACGGGGCCGGGCTCGGCCGGCTCAATCAGCACAGGCTCGTTACGGGGACACAGCGATGGGGACACGACACAAAGAGCCCAGCGAGCAGCAGCACAGCGGGGAAAGAAAGGCCTGGTGTATTGAAACCCATCATGGGGATTTTTGACAATGAAGCAAACGCCTATCTGTTTCTTATTATTTTTTCATCTTTTCTCGTAATTTCTTCTCCAGGGACTGGGCATAAACAGGCGCCAATAAAACCCGGTCCCCAGTGGGCACTAGGGAAGTTACGCCCATGCGTTATTTACGATCAATAACGAGTGCTCCAGTTATATTGTATTCACGGCGTCTCTGCTGCTCGGCACAACCATCCTAGAGGTCTGTGTCCTGTCACTTCTCTCAGTGATTAAGGTTTAGAAATAGATTGAGGCAAAAAGCAGAGTTTCCCCTGGCACGTCCCCGGGAGATGCACTGCTGGATTTCAGAGGTGCTTCCCGGGCAGCCAGCACCTGCCCCGGATTATTTCACCTGGGAAGGAGCAGCTACCTGGGTCTCCCCAGAGGCTTTCCCGCTTTCTGCCAAGTGCTGCTAAGGATATTTTGCACAATTTACCCAGGAAGAGCAGTGCTGAAAAGGGAACATAAGCAACCGACACGGAGAGGGTTTGGGGTGAGAAACATTCGTTTCAGGAGTGAGCCAGCTCCTCCCTACACACACCAACCTCAGCCTCAAGGGCCGTTTGCCACCTGTCCTAAAGAAAGCGATGAAAACGTCTGATTAGACACATCCTACCAAACCGCCAACATCTGTCCTGGCCCAAGGGCTGTTGGTTGAATAGGATCCATCTGCATCTCATATATGGGATGTTTTGGTCCAAAAATAAGTTACACTCTTTGTCCTTCTGATAGTCCAAATTTTGTCATTGTTTACAGAAAGATGATAAACAGTGAGATGGAGTTTACTGAAAAAACCTATCCATACCAGTGGAGTAAATAATCTGTGATTTATAATTCCTGAATAAATACTTTGTTTTGAGCCCCATTCTGCTCCTCCTGCCCCACCCGAGTCCTGGCAGGCCAAGCGGTGGGTTTCTGGCCCCTCACAGCAGCAGGGTTATCAAACTGCTCTGATCAGAAGCAAATCAGAGCCCGTCTTGATGTGGTTTTGTGACTTGAGACTGAAGTGTTACTACTACAAGCAAAGTACCCTGGTCATCACTAGCGGCCGTTGCCGACAGGCACCGTTCCCACACAGCGGGAGCCGAGCCCACCAGGGCACGCAGCGGGCAGCCAGTGTGCACCGCAGCCTGCGCCGGGACAGCCCCGGCTGCGCAGGCGGGCGATGGAGAAAACGAGGTGTGCGTAGGGCGCGGGGCGAGGACCAGGCTGCCCGCGCAGCGAGCAGGGGCTGCTCACCAGCAGCAAACGGGGCCAGAGCACGCGGCCCAGCCGGGCGCACACAGCTGTGCTCTGGCCTGCGGGAGACGGTGATGAGGTGACTAGGGTAATGAGGTTACCCCGGTACCCCGTAATCGGACTGCAAGTTACTCGGAGCAGAGAGGGCAGGTCCCCCCTAGCACAGCCCGGGATCAGAGCTGGGGTGTAGGTCCCCTCCTGTAGCTGGGGAAAAGGCGCAGGGGAAAGCATTTATTTCAGACCTCACTCACTGAACGGCTGCAGCTCCCCGTCAGCTCATCATTAACGCAGCTCCTAACGAGGCACAGGCCGTGCCTGTGCCCGGCCAGAGTCAGTCGTCTGCAAGGAAGGACCCACGGCCAACGCCGGGCTCCCACGGTGCGGCCCTGCTCCCTCAGCGGGCACGGCCGAGGGGCTGGACGCTCACCACCCCGGCGAGAGCGGCCGCGGCCGACAGCGTTTACCTGGCTCTGTCCTGAAAGTAACTGTGCAACTGGCACCAAAGCTTTGCCTTCCCTCCTCCGCCCCGTGCAAGTTGTGCCTGCACACCTGAACACTTCTTTTAAAGACTGCTGTGAAAATTTGGTTCTGCACAATTTTAGCCACGTACTAATTTCCACATAAAACTGTGGAAAATAAAGGTGTCATTTTTCATATAAAACTGTTTCGTACCAGTTACGCCTTTCTGTTTCATTCACAGAAACTGGAAACACAGCAAAATTTGTCCTGAGGGAGCCTGCATCTGTTAAAAACATTTTCTATCCATTTTTTCATTACGAATATACAGTAAGGATGCAAACCCTGCAACCTCTTAATGTCTGGCAGCAAACAGATGTTGATAGTCTGAAAGTTAATGCAGTTCTAACGAAACCCCTGTGTATCACAACAGCTGTACGTTGCAGCAGAACCCATGGCTCATTTTTAGCAATAGTAACCAAAAGCCACTCTACAGCAGATTAAGCAACTAATATAGTGAAGGCTTCTGAAACAAGAAGAAAGGCAATATCCACAGCTGGAACAAGTTAAGGAGATCTCCCATCTTGTTAAGAAGTTAAAACAGGTATTGGTAAATTATATACAGTACTTTTTTACTTTACACTGAAAATAAAGTAAATTGAAGGGTGAAATAAGATATTCCCCTCTTTCATAACCGAGCAGCATTGCAAGGCCACCCACTTTGTCTCCAGTAAAATCTGAACCTGTGATAACCTGCGTCCTCCGAACCCGGACAGCCAGAACCAAACCCTCCGATCCGTTCGCACGGCTCCTCGCCACTCGCAGCAGCTATGTGAAGAAAGCAAATATTTTAAATACATTCTGCATCTCAATTACATGTTTAATCATTACCCAGCCCCAGAAGAATCCATGGAGTGCGCAAAAAACATTTATTTGCCCCGAGTCGGGAAAGAAACTCTGACAGGTGACGAGAGGACAAGGATGCGCCTGGGATGTCCTTGCACTGCAGGACCCGAGCAGCCCGAGGCTCCCAGGAGGCCGGTGCTGCCCACCACAGCCCGGAGAGGCCCCAGGGCTGCTCCGATTTACGCGGGGATTGCTTGTCCCTGCGGCAGCCTTTACGAACAGGGAACACCAAAGCAAATTTTTAACCACCTATTCAGCCTCCCTCCCTCCCCACACCTGCTCAGTGTCTTCCCTTGCTGTACCCAAGGACGTAACTTCTTTTCTTGTCATCTTACGATATTAAAAACATGTGCAGATCAGCAATCTGACATTAAAAAAGAACAAGTCAAGAAGTTGATCTACCTCCTCCGACAAGTTGCATAGCAAGTATCTTTACCCACGACAGGCAACCAGTGTGCTGAACTGGCGCTCCATTAAATCCAAGAATGCAGTTCTGTAAGAACTCTCTCTTTTGCTACAGCTTTGCAAGACTAGTTGTCAGTGCTCTCCGGTGGTATCGGAGGACAGCCTGTGGTGCTCAGCGCAACCTGAGAACGGGTTATCGGCACGGCGCGGGCCCGCGACCCTCGCCCAGCGGCTGCAGCCTAGCTGCTGCCCGCGGAGGAGCAGACGGAGCTGCACATGTTCAAGTTGGAGGTCTCAGACTCAGCTTCCGTCTCGGCTTCGTCGGTGGTCTCGGGGGGGGACACAGACTCGCTCATCTGCTCTTGGCTCTTCTTTAGCCTGTGCGGAGCAGAGGAACCAGGTGTTACACCATCATCCCCAGATGAAACGCCCCACAGAAGGAGTGGTGTGAGGGTGGTCTACAGCAGCCAGTGTGCCCCAGGCTGCCCACGCACCACTCCTGCGAGATGCCTACAGCAGACACATGGTAAACCAGAGGAGTCTTTCCAGAGCACACACAGAGCACATAAAAAGGTCACGACAGGGATTGACGTATCAGCAAAACACACCGAAACACTCTGAAACACTCCACAGTGACCTGCAAGGCTTCAGCTTTCAGGAGCGCTGCCCACCCAGACCTTGGCCACAAGCGCCCTGTGCCATGGCTCCCTGCCACGCACCACCTCCTCCACGGGGGCTGTCTCCTGTCCTACTTACGAACCCAACATTCCCATGTCAGCGTGCTTGAACACGGGGGAAAGCAGCTGCTTCACCTCCAGTGCCTTCACTGCCCGCTCATGTCCTGCAGAGATTTTAGCACGTTCCTTGCCTTCATTTTCCAAAACATCATCCTCTAAAAGCAGGATGGATGAGAAGATGCAATGGGGGAACTGAAGCAGTGTCACATACATATGGTAAATCCCAGAAGTCTCCCTGCAGCATATTTTATTTAATGGCAGTGATTAATAATCCCTGATCTTGTCTCCCTTTTTGGCGAGAACTGCTTTTCCTACAGAAGCAGCACCTGAGCTCCTCGGCTGCCGTCAGTCACCCAGGGCTAAGCCCGCAGCCAGATGCTCCCGGCCATCAGGCACTGGCACCCGGATTCCTAAAGGAAGTCAGGAAAAAGAGCATTTTTTCTTTCAAAAAAATTACCCCCCCCCACACTCACTTCTCTCTGTTAAAGATGACAAAGTCTTGCTGGATAGCTTCAAGGCATTCTTGGAGATAGTCATTTTCCTGTTGAAGAAAAACACCACATGCATAAGCAGGCCCATTTGCATCTCATTGCTGCCTACAGCATCGCAGCGTTTCCAGCTGTACGCACAGAGCCTCCCAGCCACCAGAAACCTCAACCGAAACAGATGATGGGAACAGCATAGCTGACTGCCTTCAGGGCTTTCACCGGTGGCTTCTTTCATCTGTGGCAAGCAGAGTTTTCCATAAACCACAGATAGCACAGTTTTCCAGATAAACACAACACGTTTATCTGTGTATTCTGGTTTGGGGAGTCCTATCTGCCCATAGGGAGGAAAGCCAGCACGGCGGAGAGACCAGCACGAAGCCTGCGCCTGTGAGCCCTTGCAAGAAGAAGGCACAAACCTGCCGCCTCGTCCCACCGACGGCTGCGACCCGTGGGGGCCCGGCCCGGCCCAGGGGCTGTGCAGGTACGCTGCCTTCATGCACGCCGGGAAGCTGGCAGCACCCACGGGGCAGGAAGGAAACACGGCTGTGCAGACAGCCCACCCTTCCCGATTGCTGCCTTTATTTTACCTCCTGCATCACCTCTGTCTCGGTGCAGAGACCACCCCTGAAGCCAGATGCTGCTGCTCCGCTCCACCTCCGGCCGAAGCAGGGACGCCCGTCGCCAGCCCGGGCGAAGCCTTGCCCAGCCCTCGCGCCGCCCGCCCGTGCCCCCCAGCCACGGGCCATGGCACAGCCAGGGACGGGCTCCTGCCTGACGCCTGCGCAGGCGGCTGGCGAGCGGCCGCCGGGGTGGGCCCCG